ATGCTGGAGAATCCGAGACAACAAGGTGCAGGGCTGGATGAACACAGCAGGCCAAGCAGCATCATAGGAGCAGAGAGGCTGACGTTTCGGGCCGAGACCCTTCATCAGAAAAGGGGGAGGGGAAGGGGGTTTTGAAATAAATAGGGAGAGAGTGGGAGGCGGATAGAAGAGGGATAGAGGAGAGGATAGGTGGAGAGGAAACAAACAGGTCGAAGAGGCGGGGATGGAGCCAGGAAAGGTGAGTGTAGGTAGGGAGTTAGGAAGGGGATAGGTCAGTCCAGGGAGGACGGACAGGTCAAGGGGGCGGGATGAGGTTGGTCGGTAGGAGATGGAGGTGCGGCTTGAGGTGGGAGGAGGGGATAGGTGGGAGGAAGAACAGGTTAGGGAGGCAGGGACGAGCTGGACTGGTTTTGGGATGCGGTAGGGGGAGGGGAGATTTTGAAACTTGTGAAATCCACATTGATACCATTGGGCTGCAGGGTTCCCAAGCGGAATATGAGTTGCTGTTCCTGCAACCTTCGGGTGGCATCGTTGTGGCACTGCAGGAGGCCCAGGATGGACATGTCGTCTGAGGAATGGGAGGGGGAGTTGAAATGGTTCGCGACTGGGAGGTGCAGTTGTTTGTTGCGAACCGAGCGTAGGTGTTCTGCAAAGCACTATTTCTACACTAACTCATCTAATTTACTGCTATAACTGCAATTTTAACAAAAGTTATTGCTTACATTTTATCTAATTTCTTTGGGGGAGTTAATCTCATAAAGGAGGAACACAGAAAGTTTGTAGCCAAATACTTATCTGCTAGCCTCCACCTGGTGAATGAAACTGAGTTTTACATTTGACATGTCATGGGAAGTTAAACTGATATTTCCACCCTTCTAACAGTAACTCAATTAAAACACAATATGAAGAATTTAACCTCTCCGTCAGGGTATGGTTAAACTGGGTGCCTTCAATGTACACACAGACTCCAGTGCCATGTCTTCAGATGATGGCGCCATGTGGCAGCATGCACATGAGAAACGAAGCCACATAGAAATCCTTAGGGGACTCCAAAAGTAACAGTGTAGGGAGAGGAAGCGAAGCCTTTGCTCAAGGTGGTCTGACTATGACTGGCTTGGCAAAAGCAAAACCAGTAACAGACAGTCCCGCTGAGCTGATTGAAAGGTGGTGGAAGGCTTTTGTCAAAGGCTGGAGGCAGGTCAATGAGAATGGGGATGGAATTGCCCCACAATCATAGTGAAATAGGATGTCATTTGTGGCTTTGATTAGGACAAAACAGACTAAATTGTGACTAAGTAGATCTTTCCTATGTTGTAAAGGTGGGGCTGATCCATTCAGTAAGGTTTTGTGCAAGCCTAAAAAGCCTTTTATTATTCTTTCATGGAATGTGGGCATCACAGGCAAGTTTGGCATATATTGTTCATCCTTAAATCCCCGTGTGGCTTGCTGGGCTATTTCAGGGGCAGTTCAATGTCAACCATATTGCTATGGGTCTGGAATCACACATGGGCCAGACGAAGTAAGGTTGGCAGATTTCCGTCCCTGCAGGGTAATAGTGAACCAGATGGATTACCATAGTCTCGGTAATAGTGACCATGAATGTAGTTTCAATCCAGATTTGTTAACTGTCACAGTGAGGATTTGAATTCACATGCCCAGAACATTTGCCCCGACTCCTGGATTACTAATCCAGTGACTTTGTCATTACACCACTGTCACCTCTTTCCTCATTTCTTTGGCAGGAAGAATAGAGGAGCTGAATATTACTGAAACGAAGAAACATTGCAGAAATCTACATAACAGAGGGAAATGGGAGTCCTCACATGAATCACCAAAACCAAGCATCCAAGTTCAGCGGGTATTAGAGAAGGCAAATGAAATGTTGTCCTTTATTTCAAAGGGAATGGAGTCTTATCTAAGGAAAAATATACTGGCATTGGGGACAGTCCAGAGTAGGTTCACTAGGCTGATACCAGGTATGGAGGGACTGTCTTACAATGGGAGGCTGAATAGATTGGGCCTGTAGTCATTGGAGTTCTGAAGAATGATAAGCAATCTTGTTGAAACGTACAAGATTCTTAGAGGACTTAACAGGGAAGACACGGAAAAGTTGTTTCCTTTTATGGGAGAGTCTAGGACCAGAAGGCATAATCTCAGAATAAGGGGGTCATAAGACCACAAAATAGAGGAAAAGAATTAGGCCATTCAGCTCATTGAGTCTGCTCCGCTATTCAATCATGGCTGATATGTTTCTCAACCCCATTCTCCTGCCTTCTCCCCATAACCTTTAATCTCCTTACTAATCAAGAACCTATCTATCTCTGTCTTAATTACATTCAATGACTTGGGCTTCATAATCCTCTGCAGAATTGCATTCCACAGATTCACCACCCTCTGGCTGAAGAAATTCCTCCTCATCTCAGTTCTAAAAGATCGTCCCTTCACTCGGAAGCTGTGCCCTCAGGTCCTAGTCTCTCCTACTAGTGGAGACATCTTTTCCACGTCCACTCTATACAGGTCTCTCAGTATTCTTCAAGTTTCAATCAAATCTCCCCTCCCATCATCCTATTAAACACCATTGAGTACTGACCCAGAATCTTCAACTGTTTCTCATATGACAAGTCCTTCATTCCCAGGCTCATTCTTGTAAACCTTCTCTGGACTCCCTCCAATGCCACCTCATCTTTCCTTAGATATGGGGCCCAAAACTGCTCACAATATTCCAAACATGGTCTGACCAGGGCTCTATAGGGCATCTGCTCTTGTATTCTAGCCCTCTTGAAATGAATGGTAACATTGCATTTGCTTTCCAAACTGCCACCTGAACCTGCATGTTAACCTTAAGAGAATCCTCAGCTAGGACTCCCAAGTACCTCTGTGCTTCAGATTTCTGAAACCTTTTCCAGTTTAGAAAATAGTCTAAGCCTCCATTTTTCCCACCAAAATGTATAGTTTCACACTTTGCCACATTGTAATCCATCTGCCACTTCGTTGCCCACTCTCCTAACATATCCAAGTCCTTCTGCAGCCTCCCCGCTTCCTCAAAACTACCTGTCCCTCCACCTATCTTTGTGTCATCTGCAAACTTAGCAAGAATGCCCTCAGTTCTTTCGTCCAGATTGTTACTGTAAAACGTGAAATTGTTGTGGTACCAACACTGACTCCTGCCAAACTCCACCAGCACTGACTGCCATCCTGAAAAAGAACCTTTTATCCCTACTCTTTACCTTCTCAGTCTTCTATCTATGTCAGTAACTTTCTCCTATCACCATGGGCTCTTATTTAGCAGCCTCCATGCAGCATCTTGTCAAAAACCTTCGGGAAATCCAAATAGATCATGTCCACTGACTCCTTGTCTCCTCAAAGAATTCTAACAGATTTGTCAAGCATGACTTCCCCTTGACGAAACCGTGCTAACTCTGCCCGATTTTACCATGCACTTCCAAGTACTCCACAATCTCATCCTTAATAATTGGCTCTAAATCTTACCAACAACTGAGGTCAGGCTAACCAGCCAATAGTTTCCTGCCTTCTGCCTCCCTCCCTTCTTAGACTGGGGTATTGCATTAGCCATTTTCCAGTCCTCCCTGTGACACTCCCTGACTCCAGTGATTCATGAAAGAACATTTAAGACAGATGAAGAGGAATTCCTTCTCTCAGAGGGGAGTGAATCTGTGAAATTCTTTACTGCAGAGTTAAATGTTAATATGAATATTTGTAAAATCAGAATAGCAATTCATGGTGAAAGTAAAAGGATTAGAAATACTTCACATTAAAAATATCATAGCACAAATAGGTCTTGCTTAATATATTCAAATCACAATGTAACATTTGGTAAGCAGCACCTCATTTGAGATTAGAGAATTGACTTTTTCTAAAATAAAATGTTTTGACATTCTGACTCAGTGAGTTGGGAGGGTACAGAGAAAAGTATTGATTGAAATAATGAAATATGAAAACTGATCCTGGAGATGGATGTAATAATCTGGAATTTTGCTTGATTACCATTGTGGATAAAAGTACTGCATGTGATACAGTGGATTAAAAAGGTACATTTAAAAGCACTCATCGTAGTGACTGGTGATTAAAATTAATTGACAAAGGATTATAGCAATGATACTTGTAATTAGAATGAACGATTCACAGTAGACAAGTAGATATAAGGTTTGGTGTTCCCATGGTCCAGCTTCTCATTTGACTGCATATCCAACAATATGGTATTTGATCAAACTCGTCAAAGGTGCAATGATGTGCTTCAGATTCAATTCTGAGAAGTTGGCTTTCTCGAGGTTTACCCAAGTGTCCCTGGTCAGATAGCATCCATCCCCAAAGTAACGCCATGCTGGCTGGATCACATGTTGAATGAAGCGTAGCCATGTTTCTTTGCCAGCAGCCACGTGCTCAATGAAGAAAAATGCCCCGCCCTGCAGAAACAAAACTTTTTGTCAAGTATCTGAAGAAAGTGAGCTGAACAGGAAGCAGTCAATCAAATTGGCCAAATACAGGGACTACTGCCACAGACCAACCCCACCCAAAATGACAAGGGCAGCAGATATATGGGAATGCCATCACTTACAAATTCCCCTCAAAATCACTCACCATCCTGACTTGGAAATATACCACCTTTCTTTCAGTGTCACTGGGTCAAAATCCTGGAATTCCGCACAAAGGGCATTGTGGCTCTGTTTACAGTACATGGACTACAGCAGTTCAAGAAGGCAACTCACCACCACCTTCTCAAGGGTCAATTAGAGATGGGAAATAGATACTGACCTAGCCCACACCTGGCAAATAAATACATTTTTAAACACTTCCACAAAATAAGGCTTAAGTAAAAGATGGACTCTGATTTTAATTTGTGGACTCCTCATGGCCTTGCTCATTAATTTGGGTATTATCCTGTTCTGTAAGATTATAAGTGTTTCATTAACAAATGTACAATTTGCCCTTCTGCTACATTGGAGCTGTGCACCTTTTAAAAAACTACAAAAGTAAATTGTTAAGGGAACAAATATTCAATTTGATTGTTTAGTGAAGCAATTTGCAGGTTACATAATCTGTTTCAGGCTACAGCTGACAAAGCACCCACCATTTGGAATGTTTTCTGCACAGCGATGGAGTAACGGCTGCAGTGTGATGTTCATTACGACAGAATCTTTCTTGAAGCTGTTCAGAGTAAGCCAGAGGATGTGTTATTTTGCAAGGAAAAAAGCATTATGCCATGGAATACTCAATGTGTTATTATTGCCGTTTTAGCATTGGCTTGCATCTTTAGATGCACATACCATTCTTGAAACCAGTGCTCAGGTTAGTTAAAAGTAAACTGAGTTCAATAAATTGGCAAAGGACAATTGAGAAGCAGCTATGCTTGCCGAGAAGCTGCTGGTTCATCTAAATGTACTGCCCCCTCCAATCTCCCTTCACAGGCCTCTGTTACGTTTGCACGAGATACATGAGATTTTTATGACTGGAATCTTGTTTGAGATATTGATCTCACCAAACAGTTTGGAATTTGCTGCAAAAGTATCTGGTTGTCATTTTTTTTGCCCTCTCTAAAATTATGGACCCCCTGAGAATGGTGATGTGTTGCTGACTGGGCACAGTGACAATTATGAAAGTAACAGATCCAGCAAAAGTGCACTTTACAGAAGCTGACAAGTGGAATTAAACAATTGCATATTTAAATAACAATATGCTTAATCAATTTTCATAGGTATTGTTCAATAGGTAGTCCTCTTACCCTTGTGGATACAAGCCTCCTTTAGGCTGACGCTTTTTAGGTTAAGGTGATGCCTTCAGATGATATTTAAAAAAAAAAGACCCTGTCTGTTTGTTCACTCATCAGGTGAATATAAAGATCCCATGTCTGTAGTGATTGTAACAAGGTTGGCCAAGTGGACTTTATAAAATAGGAGCTCCCTGATTGGGGCTGTTAATCTGGTCCAATCAGGGAACCCTGGTTGACATACAAGAACAGGGGTATGAGCCATCTTGCTTGCTCTAAGAGAGGTAGATAGATTGGTGTCAAGGACCATACCCATACCCAGTGACTTGGTGATGGGATTTCAGCCTCTGTGGAGTGATTACAGTGGCAATGAGAGAAAAACATGGTCTTGAAGGCATTCAATGGTTGTCTTTGAGTTTGGGTATTTCTGGCATTATGCCATTATTTGGGAAGCTTGACTTGTTTGATCCTGCTGTTTAAAACTGGGCCAAGTATGTGGAAAGATGTGTTTTTTTTTCTGGGCAAGTGACATTGAAGCAGATGAAAAGCAATGAGTCAGGAGAATTACAGCTTCTGGATCTGCACTTTCTTTGGTTACTAGGAGCCTAAATTTCCCTGAAGCACCAGATACTAAAACCTTTCAAGAGTTGATGGTTTAAGCTAAAGAATATTATAACTCCAAGCTGCCTCTAATTCTGAGATGCTATCAGTTTTACTCAGCAATTTGAGAACCAGGGGAAATCAATGATCAGGATTTTTGACTAGGTTAAGATGATGGGCAGAGGCATGCGACTTTGGTTTAACCTTTAATGAGATGCTGAGAGACTAATGATTAATGATGTAACCATGCAAAAGTGTCTACTAGCTGAAGGTCAACTGGACTTCAAACAGGTCCTACAACTGGCTTTAATCACTGGAAAAGGTGGCAAGTGCAGCATGTGTTGCAGGGAGTTCTGATGGAAGTGGACACCCTTGCCAGCCCAAATGAGCTTGAGGGGCACCACACGAGTGAAGGCAATTGCATACCCTCACTCAGAACATATCCTGAGCAGAGGAACTTTAGGTCAGGCCACAGCAAAACCCCAAAACAAAGTCAAGCCTTGACCAAATGATTGATAAATTCTTTAACTTTTACTTTTCTGGATTCTGTCATTTATAATCTGTATGCATTTGTGTCGTGGTTGGTTTTAGTAGCTAATAAACCCACTCTTCCTTTAACTCAAAAGCCTGGTTAAATTGGCTCCTTTTGAAAACATGACGTTTGGAGAAAAAGTATACGTGAGGAAAAAGAATCCTCTTTAAATTAACCTTCCTTCCTCAATTGAGGGAGCAGTTCTATAAAAGATGACTAGATCCTCCCTCTTCACCTCAGAACATAAACTGGGGGACTGGTTCTAACACTAGTCTAGCAAAATTACCACTACACCACTGATCCCCATATAAACCTGTCAAGCGGCTGGATTTCCTTTTCCCACTCTACTCCATTTCCATTTTTGTAAGCTATCACCCTGATGGATCAATAGGCATTAAGTAGTCTAAAGTTCTGATTGTTTCATAACAAAGCTAATGTCTCCCTTCCCCTGCACCTCATGGTTTTAAACTTCTAACCAACTCCTGCTTTAAAAAAGTTATTTGTTACTATTCTGTGAACATGACACATTTAGTGTGATAGGCAAAATGTACAACTTTTATTATATGGTGGTAGAGCTCCTCTGACATTCCTTTTAGTGAATGAAGGGGTTAAATCATTGCCTATCGGGAAGGGAACACTTATGGAAATATGCATAGGGTCTAAACAGCCACTGAAGGATTTACAAAGGTTATCAAATGACATCCTCAGTATATCAAATAAGTACTTAGTAATTCTGAAATTACAAAATTTCACTTGTCTACCTGGTGTGGATTAAGAAAGAAATACCACAGTTACATCATGGTTTGCAATGAATACGGCAAACATTTTATTAACCAGCACCTATGGTACCAGCAAAGTGCTGGTTGAAATATTCTGGATAATCAAGAGGTCCACATTTGGTCAATGTTTATTGCAGTTAAGCTTCAAGATATCAACATTTCTTCTAGTTGCTTGTGGGATGTGGGTGTCACTGGCTGGCCAGCATTTATTGCCCCACCCTACTTGCCCCTTGAAGGTGGTGGTGAGTTGCTTTCTTGAACTGCTGCAGTCCATGTGTTGTAGGTTGACCCACAATGCCCTTGAGACAATGCCAGGGTTTTTGACCCAGTGACAGTGAAGGAACAGCAATATATTTCCAAGTCAGAATGGTGAGCAGCTTGGAGGGGAACTTGCAAAGGGTGGCGTTCTCATATCTGCTACCCTCTTCCTTCTAGGAGAGAAGTGATCATGGGTGCTGCCCGAGGATCTCTGAATTTCTGCAGCGCATCAGGTCGATAGTACACTGTTGCTACTGAGCATTGGAGGGTGTGGATGTGGTCCTAATAAAGCAAGCTGCTTCAGTGTGGTCGGAGCTGCACCCATCCACTCAAGCGGAGAGTATTCCATCACACTCCTGACTTGTGCCTTGTAGATGGTGGCCAGGCTTTGGGAAGTCAGGAGGCGAATCACTGGATGCAATATTTGTAGCCTGTGATCAGCTCGTGGCTGTTGTTTGTGGTGGGTCCAGTTGACTTTCCAGTCAATGATAACTCCCAAGATGTTGATAGTGGGGGAATTCAGTGATGGTAACACCATTGAATGTCAAGGGGTAGTAGTTAGATTCACACTTATTAGTGATGGTCATAACCTGGCATGTGTGGCATAAGTGTTACTTGCCACTTGTCAGCCCGAGCCTGGATGTTATCCAGATCCGGTTGCATTTGAACATGGACTGCTTCAGTATCTGTGAACATGGTGCAATCATCGAACATCCCCGCTTCTGACCTTATGACAGCAGGAAGGTCATTGAAGCAGCTAAAGATGGTTGGGCCTAGGACACTATCCTGAGGAACTCCTGCAGGAGACCAGGAGCTAAAATGATTGACATCCAACAACCACAACCATCTTCTTACGTGCCAGGTATGACTCCAGCCACCAGAGTTTGCTCCCTGATACCCATTGATTCTAGTTTTGCTAGGGATCCTTGATGCCACACTTGGTCAAACGTAGCCCTGATGTCAAGGGCTGTCACTCTCACCTCACCTCTGGAATTCAGCTCTATTGTCCATGTTTGAACTAAGGCTGTAATGAGGTCAGGAGCTGAGTGACCCTGGTGGAACCCAGACTGGGTATCACTGAGTAGGTGCTGCTTGATAGCACTGTTGATGACACCTTCCATCACTTTACTGAGTAGACTGATAGGGCGGCAATTGGCTGGGTTGGATTTGTCCTGCTTTTATGTACAGGACATCTGGGCAATTTCACATTGTCAGGTAAATGCCAGTGTTGTAACTATACTGGAGCAGCAAGTTCTGGAGCACAAGTCTTCAACAGTATTGTTGGAATCTTGTCAGCACCTGTAGCCTTTGCAATATCTACTGTCTCCAGCTGTTTCATTATCACATGGAATGAATCAAATTGGCTAAAACTACTGGTATCTGTAATCCAGGGGACCACTGGAGGAGGCTGAGGTGGATCATCCACCTAGCACTTCTGCCTGAAGATTTCTGCAAAAGCTTCAGCCTCATCTTTTGCACTAATATGCTGGGCTCTTCTATCATTGTGGATAGAGATATTTGCGGAGCTTC